TGCAGATGCATCATCAAGGACTGTGTGACTTGACCAAGTCCGAGGAACTGAGGACCCAAACTTCGGGAGCAGGTGTATGCTCCGGTAAATCTGCGAGACCGGTATGATACTTGCAAGTCTCTCGCCATCACGGATAGACCTAGTTATCTTGTACATACCACTCGTTCTGTCCGGAGCCAAAGCGAACGGGGAGAACCACTCCACATAAGCCAAGTGCTTTGGAGGGGCCTTTCGAAATAACCGCGCCACGGTGGTAAGGGGTAGTGCGAATACGACACGCACTTGTGCTACACGATAATCTGTGGCTGTATGAGTAGAAGGGCTCAACTGCAACAAGTGACGCACCCCGGATGTCCGTACCAGTGCCTACGCCCAGATTGACGAGCACTGTGTCGAAGCGGGCGGGCACCTCGCGCTCGCGTGAATCTCGACGCGATGGACGTACGTGGACGGCGTCCGATGTCTCTGAACCAAGTCCACGGTGAAATGGATCCTTGCATCTGGAAGAACGGACTTTGTTATATAGCACTATGTAAGCTCCATAGTGTCACTAGGTTTGTAGCTATCCCCCCCTCTACAGAGCAGATATAGAACAAGTTGTGACACTCAGAGCAGCTGTAGGTTTGATTGGTATAGGCAGAGTAGACTATAGAGCGGTATATAGACAGTGTGTATATCATAGCTACGTGAATATATCATAGAATGTTGTTCTATAGCACTATGTGATCATGCTATTTATCATCGAAATACATCCGCGGGTACCCGCTTCCTACTCATCATCGGAAACCCCACCCTCCTCAAATTCCCGTCGCGCAGCCTCCACATCGGCATCCTCGAAGATCTCGCGCGATCCCGACTGTTCCTCATCATCAGCTTTTGCATACGCGCTGGGGTAAGACCGATTAGACTCGAGCCGAGACGTGGAACAGCACTGATGACTTACCGAGCCTTTCGCCGTAACTTCATCTGTATCTGTGGCATGATCTTGAGGTCTTTAGTCTTCTGATGGAACTGTTCCAGCGCTCGCAAATGATTCTCGAAGTGCGACGAATATGCTGTCTCTGTGAATGGAATATCCGTCTTCTGGCCAGTCTGCCATTCCTCCAGCGAACATTGTATCTGGCAACAGTAAGCAACAGACTTAAAGGTTAATCGGATAGAACATAGTACCGCTGTAAGGACCATAGCGATGGTAACGAGAGGTATACGGGGGCTGAAGAACTCCGAGTGTACAATACCTTCGTCTTTCTTGTTTGCGAACCACATTTCATTGATCAGAGCCTGAATAATCGGATGTTGATAGAGACCGGTGCGTCCAACGGGATCCTATGCAATTGAGGTCAGGACTGTGATATGAAGAGAGAATCGACTGCTTACTTACCTTGAATACGAATGTGGACCCGTCGAGAAGAGCCTCGACTTTGTCGCGCAACGCGCGCACCCCGTCCTGCCCTTTGCCTTCGCGCAGGTTGTACTCATACGCAGCCAAGGGGCGAGCCTTTGTCTTGAGCTCGCCACGGACTTGGCTTGCACGCGTCGTGATCTAAAAGATTGTCAGTTCAATCCATGGATGACAGCGAAACGCTTACCAGCTTCAGCGCATCCTCATCAAACTCGACGTGCAAGTTTTTCGCCTTGCAAGCCGCCGTCCACGCCTCCATAGCCATACCTTGCTCCTCCACGTCATTCGGGTACGGCCACTCTGTCATGATCTTGCAACGGTATATGTACTGAGCCAATGATATCACCGAGCGCAATACTGGACCGAATTGGGAGAGGCCGATACGGCCACGAGAGCCGGCGCTGCCAGTCAGCTTGCGTGTCTTTGTGAGTCGTGTTGTCGCAGAAGTCGTCTGAGCAGGTGCTCCGCGAGTTTGTCCTCGCGGGAGTACTGCAGCATCAGCACCATCAACTTCCCGATGATCATCGAGAGACCCGTCGCGCTGCTCATCATCTTCGCCATCTGTATAGAAGAGCGGCTGATGTACCACAGTATCCGCAGCAACCCCGTCACCAAGTCCTCGGGCGCGAGAGGGGCGAGGAGTTGGGGGGCGAGGATACTCGTTGCGTGGGTTGGGGATGGCTTCGTGGGGATTACGAGGAAGTGGTGGCGGCATCATAGCTTGGTACTCGTAATTAGCCAGGTGCTAGTGCAGTAAATCAGTAGCAGCACTCGTATGAGACACTTTAACATGTACCTGGGGCCGGTATTCCTCCCATCTCGGGCCAGTGGTCCTTAAGTTGAGCAGCATCCTGGGTGTCTGCTTCGGAACTCGGCCATCGCGTCGCACAAGAGCTGGCAACGCTGATGCATGATTGGTTCCTGACAACTGCAGGCATGTCAGAATAGACAGTTATAAAATTACAAGTAAAACATACCTCGCGACTTTCAACCGGCGATGGAATGTTTGCACGATCCCTCCCCATAAAAGCAGTATCCTTACCCTGATGAGCAGGGCACGGATTAGCATCCCCGCCCTGCGCTGGGTGATTCTCAGCGTTGTCACCATCATCCGAGGCGTACAGGTCTGCGACGCTCGGTGTCACCTCACCAGCGCGCCGGACGAGACGCGGCTTGGGCTTCACTGTGCCGTGCACACTGTTCATCTACCGCTTGCATGTAAACTGCCAGACATCAAGGAGAATGAGAAAAGCATGTACCTCATCAAGCTCGTCTTGCACCACTAGC